TGGGTTCCTCCTGGTACTGGACAATGCCTCATGTGGCCAGAGTGTGTAGGCAGTTCCTGGATGATTAAGGCATTGATGCGTTTGACTGACCCTCACGTTCCCCTGACCTAAATCTGGGAGGACACCACCCGCCGACTTATCAGGAGCATGCCCATATGCTGTCGGGAGTGCATACAGGCAAGAGGAGGCATGTTGGATCAGCCTGTCATTTCAATTTTTTGCTTTGTTGGTATGGTTTGGAATCAGAGGCAGCTGGCCAATAGGGGGCGATAGGGCACCACCCTCCCAAAGAATAAAAGGAAAAAAGATGATAGTGATACATTCTGTTAATTATCATTATAATCGTCATTATTATTTTAAAAATGTATTAAACTATACCAATTCTCAAGACTGTTTGTCCTGCCTGCTGCCTCTGAATATCATTGTCCAATCAGCTGCAGCTCTGAGCCCTGTTTAATAGATTGCGATCGATTTTCAACCAGACTGAAATCGCCCACATCACTCTGATAGACTTTCATTTAAGACGTATTTTCTTCAAACTGCAGGCACTGCAATGCAATCTCTATGACATCCGGGAGGGCACGCACTAACTTGATTTCATCATTCATGAGCTGTTGCACTTGCACCTTGGTCCAATCGCATCGTGCCTGTCATCTCGCTACTCAAGAGGAGGAGTGTTGTGCATGAACAGCATCATTGAACGCGTTCATATTTTTTGTGGATGATGAACTGAACGAATCAGTTTACATTTTTAAACGTTAATTTTTTAAATCGTCATCGTATCAGGCCATCATGTCAAATACCAGGAGCGAGAGAAAATGTATGTGTGTGTGTGTGTTACACAGTGAGATGAGAGGAGCGTTCACTTGAAGTAGCTGGAAAGTAAGAGTTTCTCTCTGGTCCACAGCTGCTCAATGGTCTGCTTCATAATCAGTCAATCAAGGTAACAAAGGCTTGGACTCTTTTTTCTGCATCTTTTTGATACAGGACAGCCTGATTTTTGAAATGTTAGGTAGGTGAAAAAAGGCAGAATCAAAACAAATCTGGATCTGACTGTTTCAAATGGAACAAAGAGGCTGACGAGATTCTGCAGAACTATTTTGAGGCAACTGACTGGCAAATGATTGAGGATGCAGCTGGTGGAAATATCAGCGAATACACAGACTTTTTCATGGGTTACATAAGTAAGCCCAAAAGCTACTGCCTGCCCATTCCCTAAAAAGAAACCCTGGGTCAGCCTGGAAATCCCGGAAAACTCAAAGCAGGGACCACCGCCTTCAGCTAAGGAAACCCTAAAAGGGAAACAGGAAGTTCTTCCAACTTGACTATATATTGTCCTATCTGCACCAAACTTCACAAGACCAAATCCAACCGAAATTTGTGATGAAAAAACCTTATGAACGTTGTTGCTGCTGCAACATGGCAAATGTTTATAAGTTGGTCTCATTTTTGTAAGGCTAACAGGCATGAGAACTCAGATTGGCCAAGACATCAGAAATTACATTTATTACCAATATGGGTTTTGAATAATGGCTCAATAGTGCCTCCTAAATTTTGTATGTAGACACCAGTATTATCAAACTCCTGAATTAAAATTTGCGTGTAGGTCCAAACAACGCAGGCACTAACAACCAAACCTCTCAAACATTAAATGCAGACAGCAACAAAAACAACCATGATCATTGATTTAGATGTGCTTTGCAAGGACAAACACACCTTAACTATTGAAATAGATCAACCCCAATCACTGTTAATAGAAATACAATGAATCCATCAATACTTGGAGAATGGTGGAGAAGCATGTGACTCCAAACAACTAGAGGTCCATCCAAATTATATTCACAACTAGTATGAATGCCTGAATGTAAATTGAAGGCAGGGATGAGAAAGCCCCAGGGCTACAGCAGGTTAAGCTATCATGGTTCTCAAGGTCAATGAAAATCTCAAAAAGTCACTGAATTGCTCTCCAAAGAGCTTCCCCCCTGCTGTAACTCCGTTCTGTGCCCAAGCCTGCTGCTACAGCCATGGCTGTTAAACACACACCTCCCACACAATGTGATTCTGCAGATTTTAGCCTCCGGATAGCAAGCAGCATGGATTCATGTCACACAGTCACACATTTCTCCTACATATGCACCTTTTTTTTTTGGTGGACGGCGTATTGTCTTTTATTTCTTTGTTTGTGCCAGCTACTCATTAAAATGAAATAATAAAATCCAAGGTC